CATCACATTTCATGAGTGAGTTTGTATGGTGGTGTGTGGGTGAAAGCAAACACAATCCAACTGGTTGAAAATTCTTTCTTGTGAGAAGGACTTCCACGTAAGGAACATAATGATTTCCATTTTGCACTTCAAAAATATAGAGAATGAGGGCCTACATGATTTTGACAACATAACATAAGTATACACCCTCAACAATAAAAAAGAAAACTAATCAAGATCCCTTGTCAAGAGTTAACTGTAGACAGGAAAAAACAGTTTAAGTGTTTGTACATCTTTTACCAACTTCTATACTCCGTCTTTTTAATCTCCCAAGGAAACCCCAGCAGACCTGTGTTTCACATAATAGCGCCTCTCACCCAGCAGGTACATTTAGAGAAAGGAATCTGTCAGTACTCTAATAACAGTCCTGACAACACAGGGAGGAAATGTTGCCAGTGCCATAGGAAATACTGTCTTCAGAAAATTAAAAGTGTACCAAAGTGTGCCTGGTGTACATCTGTTTATGTTCCTGTTTCCTCCACTGCCAATAGCTCCTGTCAATCCATGAATTCTGTGCCATGAATGAAACAAAAAATTGCTTCAGTAGTACAGTCCAGCTAGTTGTTAAACCAATGAGATGTTGATATTAAACTCAGACTTGGATAACTCCTGCTTCAAGCTGAAAGGAAACAGAGTTCTCTCCACAAGAATATGAAAGTGTGATTCCTAGGAGTAAAGTGGGGGGAAAAAAGTAAAGGGCATTTGATCGATTGATTGATTGACTCTGTGTGTGTGTGTGTGTGTGTGTGTGTGTGTGTGTGTGTGTGTGTTTTCTGGGAAAAAGAAAGAATATGGAGTCTGATGTTCTATCTTCTATCATAGGTCAATGATCCAGCTGCTAACAAAGTCTGCGGTAATATACTGGAAAAAAAAAAAGAGAAGATGTTGGTGCAGTGAGGTCAGAGGAAGAAGGAAGACCACAGAAACTTAAATATGTTGCCCTTTCACTGGCAGACAGGTAGTATCCATTACTACAATTTCCATTACCTGTGAAAGACCATTAACTGAGCAGCAGTCAGTCTTCTCTCTTCTTTCATTGTAGCTGGACCACAGCAGCTCAGAAAAAGACTTCATTTCACAGCCTCCTGGGCATCAAGGGGAAGCAGCCACCTGGCCAATGAAGCAATGAGGAAAAGACGAGTTGCACTACCTGCCCTGTGCATGCCTGTGTTTACCTGACCTTCTCAGGAGCTGGAGTAGACCTGCCCGTGACCAGCAAGGACCTTGCCGGCAAGAATAACACAAAGGTAAGGAGAGAAAGACAAGATAGAGGGTACCTGAAATCCTGAATAGTCACAGAGAGCAAAGCCAATCCAGACTAACAGAAATGCATTCCTCTCCACTTCAGCGATGATGTTGCAGGCCCCTTTATAACCATGACTTAAATTTCACCTTAATGCGTGTTATAACATTTTGAATTTAAGATCTTAAAATGAAACTAAAGAGCCCTTGGGTGATATTTGTTTTCTCTGTTTAATATAAACCTTCTAAGATTTCTAGAAGTATTCTATTTTAAAAATAGTAATATGATTATTTTCTGAGTTCTCACAAGACAATTTTACAAATGAAGGAAATATATATGAATGTATGTGTATACCTAAGTATAATATATAAGTATATAGGTGTAATTCATTCTAAATTTATCAAAAGTGGAGAGGTCCTTGATAAACCATCCAATCAAACCTGTGCTAACCACAAATATGTTCACATACCCTAAATATAGGTGAAAACACAGATATTATGGGCTAAACAATGCGTACACTGAAGTCCAAACCCACTACTTCAGTACGTGGCTATAGGAAGCTTATGTGAGGTCTTTAAATAGGTCACTATGTGGGCTTTAATTTAATAAGGTAGTGTCCTTATGAAAGAGGTTAGGACACATACAACACATGCTGAGTGAGGGACAACCATACGAAAGCAGAGAAAAAAACCAGCCATACACAAACCAAGCAGAGAGACACCAGAAGATACAGCTCCGGCAACATCTTGATCTCAGATTTCTATCCTTCAGAACTTTGAGAAAATAATTCTGTTGTTTAAGCCTCTCAGTCTGTGGCACTCTGTTAGGGCTGCCCTAGGATACTAATACAGATAGTAAGTACAAGTGCTGAAGTCTGATTCTTTCTCCTGGAACCCAAAAAGTATTCTCTGGGTTTGCTCTCTAATAAAAAATAAGGGACGTTATAAGGGATGGAAAGAAGGGTCATATAATTGAAATCTTTGGATTTTTTACAAGGAAAAAAGAGAGGACTTATTCATGCTTTGACTGTATCTGAACTTTCATTATTTTACTCCCTTCCCCAAAATAAATTTGGATCTACATCTTATAGTCAAAATTGAATTCCAGATAAAGACTTTAATGTAAAATGCTAAAAGCTAATAAAATAATACCTAGGAAATCATCTTTGTAGTCTATGAGTCAATAAAGTTTTGCTGAACATGAAGCTAAATCCTCAAATTATAATAACACAATTGGGTGGTTTAACTTCAACAAAATGAAGACCTGTAGTTCAATTCAATGATGCCCTAGAGAAACTTAACAGACTAAAGAAGATAGTCAATATCTAAAGCCAAAGGAGATTAACATAGGATTATGCCCTCCAAAAGAAACAATACTTTTGCAAATCAACACAAAAATAATGCTATAACCACTATAAATATAGGTACAGAATATGAGCAGGTAAAGCCCAGTTGTCTAACAATTATATAAACAAAAGTTCAACACCATTAGCAACAAAAAGAACTGGAAGTTTAAATACCAATGAGATTCTATGTTATCCATTAGAATGATAAAAAATTAGAGCACTAAATAACATAAAGCATTGGAGAGGTGATGAGAATGAGAGAAACTATCAGATGCCATTAGAGGGAATATCAACTAGTCCAGTAGTCCTGGAAAGCAGTCTGTCAGTTTTGGAGAAATTATAGGCATGTCCTATGATCCAGCAACTGGCTTCTGCATATATATATATATAATATAACATAACGTGTACCCGAATATTCCAAGCTGTAGTATTATATATTAGAAATAATGCCCATAATTAGGGAACAATTAGTAAAATGAGATAGGGGTTGCTATGGATTGAATCAGGCTTAAATGTGTAAGTTTCAAGAGAGGGGAAACAATATGACTATCGGAGATTAAAGGTGGGGCCTTTGGGAGGTGTGTAGAATTAGATAGGTCCATGAGACTGGAGCCCCCATGACTGAATCTTGGTGGCTTTGTAAAGGAGGGGGAACAGAAGAGACAGACACACACCCACACATACTGACTATCTCTTGTCTTGTGATGTTCTGTGTCACCTCCGGTCTCTACCAGAAAAATGGCTATCACCAAATGTGGCCCCTTAACCCTGCACCTCCAAAACTGTATGCTGAAATAAACCTATTTTTATACTTACCCAGTCTGTGGTGTTATGTAATTAGCAACAGAATACAGATTATAGAGGCATACTATGAAAATACAATACAACTATCTAAAATACCAAACTGTACATAGAGTAAGCAATACAGGTGTAAAACACAGATTCTCAAGTATTTACTGCATCATTTCACTAAACATGATATATTTTCCACAAAATATATCAATTAAACATTGTGGTGGTTGTCTTCTGGAGGAGAAATGGAGATTAAGGAGAAAAACCCGAGGAGTATAATCGTCTCAATTCCTCACCTGAAAAATCTCTCTCTCTCTCTCTCTCTCTCTCTCTCTCTCTCTCTCTCTCTCTCTCTCTCTCTCTCCCCAGAGTCTCAC